TTTTGAATTTCTAATGGTGGGGTACCTCTTCTAATTTTCTAAGACTAGTCAATAGGAAAGTCCTATGGCTAGACCTAGGCTACTAAAGAAGTTTTCTAGACCTCAACCAAAAATGAGGTCAACAAAGCATGCGACATATAAGATCACTAATCATGCAAATGACGAACTCAAGTGCAGAAGCACACTCAATGAGTTCAGAGACTTTAAAGAATAACCTTGATTGAGTATAAACATGAAAAGGCCTGTGGTGTTCAGGTGTGAGCCATAAGAGACATGACTGTATGTCCTCCAAATGGAAAATTCACATACTAATGGGCTAGCATTGCTAGCAGCCATTCACCACAAAATGCAAATATCAGACCGCACACACATAGGGGCATATATGTGTGGTGATAACGCAAGTGCCGATGCTCATTGAGACACCAAATATTGGCACGTGCCAAAGATAAAAAAAATTAAATTTTTAACATGCAAATGAGTTTATCACATAACATAATACACAAAAATTATCTAATTTTTATGCACATACAAGTATGAACTCAAACATGTCATTCAAGAAAGGTAAATGGTGCAAGTGTGCATGCAAAACACACAAAAATCCAAGTGAGGTTGGCCTGCTACTTATTGGTTTGACCGGGGCCATCAACCAGAAGTCACAGTCAATGGGGTTCACTGGGTCGAGGCTGCCGATATGGCCTAAGTGGTCGATCGACCGAGCTGCCCGGGGTGTGGGTGTGTGTGTGGGGAGGGGGGGGTCAGACCTAAGTGACACATGCGAAGTGTTTCATGCAAATTGTGGTCAAACATTCAACCATATGCAAACATCCATGTTTGATTGCGATCTTTACTCATCCCAGCGATCTTACGGGCTTCGCTACAAAGCGACGGACAATCGCTTCTATTTACTCTATGCGAATATTTTTTGTTGGGGAATGCCTTCGTGACATATAGAATGTCAAAGTCCTGAGACTTCCATTCTCTACACCGAAATGGTAGTCTTCACTCTTCTTGGCATAAGGGAAAAATTGCAGGAGCAAACTCGGGATTGAACGATCCCAACGTTTTGGCTTTAGGACTAAAAAGAAATGGATAGGTTCCCTCTTTGGATTCATAAGGCAAAGTCTGCGACAGGCTCCTAATCCTAAATTGGCATCCTCTACGCACAACAAAGCCCTAATCTAGTGTCTCTAACATCCAGGCCCAATGGGCTCTAGAGATTAAAAAATGAGGGTTCGAAGAAGTTATACCTTCTCAGTGTTTGGCCAAAGTCCAACTTTGCTTCAGAAGAAGCTCTCTTTAATGTAGGAGGAATGACAACACCCCAAAACTCCACACTCCTTCCCCAAAGTAAGGTAGAGTTCACGAAAGATTTCCTTCTCCAAAGAAGGATGAAGCTCTCCTTCGTTGTGGGAGAGGACGACGAGTTCGTCGGAGTATGACCTTCTCCTAAGCTAGAATGAAGCTTTTACAGCCTCGACTCCTAAAGATTTCAATAGAGAAGAAATAACTCACTGAAGGAGATGAAGAATGGAGGAAATGAAGAGGAAGAAGAAGAAGTTGGAAAAAGAAATCAACTTCTTACCATTTTCACCTAAAAAAGATGGAAGCTCTCATAAAAAATTTTTGCTCCATACACCTTTTTTCTCCAAGCTCCCAATTGCTCTCTTCCCTTCAAGGCCAAAAAGCTCTCTGCTCCACTTAAAAAAAAAAAAGGTTCCTCCCTCTAGGAAGAATAAGAATAACCAAGCGTAAGCCTCAAGCCAACCAGCCTTTCCCTCCTACTTTGCCATCATTGACCCGATCAAACTTTTGGAAGCTTCCAAAAAGAGAGTCAAAAGAGGCATCTTGAGCATCTTTTTTGCCTCCCCTGTGTAATTTTCTCATTAGCATAAAAAATCTCAAATTTTTACTGTATGGGGGGAAGTGTCAGGGTCACAACGATTAAAAAAATTAAAAATTTGCGTACAGAAATTGGACTGGCGCCTACTTACTGGGTGCTCGGGAAATGTCGTTTTGGGCACTTAGGAGTTTGAGATTGGTGCCTAAGTGCTAGTAGGTTGGAGCCTACTTTCCCAAGGCTCAAGAAAATGCTTTGGAATGTAATTTTTGTTGCCTAAGCACTTGAGACCAGCGCCTGGGCGTCTGTCTGGCCTGAAAACACTAATAATTCACATAGATCATCCGACGGAGGGTTTCATTAATATTTAAGATACTGGGGATTAGATATGACTGAAATATGGTATCATAACTTCAAAAAAAAAGTATTTTAAATGGTCATTCATTATGAAAATCATCGCCAACGGTCTCCTTGTACCACAACATCGGTAGGGTATTCCAAACTTTAATTATTGCTTGGATGACCGCTGAAAGATCATCATCGATTTAGAAGAAACAAAAAATCATGTATCACTAGAATGCAACCCTCTTAACTCAAAAATGAACATTCTATGGGTTCCAAACCAGAGATTTTAATGTTGACATGTGCCCTGAACCCCACGAGAGTAGAATCAAACCAAACCCAACTTTTCCCAAAATGTGTGTGGGAGACCTTGATGACTACTCTTGACCTCAGAAGACTCTAGATTGATGGAGTTGGGTCTCCCGACATCATAAGGGTTGTAAAATGTGTTTGAAGTTAGAGCTAACAACACGTCACAATGAAAATTTTCGGGCAGGGTCAAGTCGGTAACAGTCCTGATTTTGTGCTCTGGGTAGTACCAGGAGGTCTAATAGGATGTCTTGGACGACAGGAAGCAAAGCATAGTTCAACATCCTCAGACGGACATCCAGCTCTTGTAACATCAAAAATTGATTTTAGCACCTACTTTTCAGGCTCTCGGCTTGGAGAGCATGTGGATGCTTTGAACGCATATATGCTCAGGACTAGCGCCTAGTCGTGGGTGCCAGACCCCGCGCCTAGAGCCAATCGCCTAGGCGCCAGAGGTCTATTGCCTAAGCGTCGGTCTGGCCCGAGAACTCTGATTCTTAAAAAAAAAAACGTCTGACAAAAGGTTTCTTGATTTGAAAGTTATAAGAGACTGAATATAACTAAAATATAATCTCACAACTTCAAAATTAAGCATCTTTATAGACCTCATATCAACGATTTTTATGCCAACGGCCGTCTCAAATCTCCGCGTGGGTGGGTCAGTATGATCTTTGAACATCAAAATGATCAATATACGTGTCTTGTATCGAAATTGATGGCTCTCAATAGTGAACTTGCCTGAGTAGGGCTAAATTACCATGACCTGAGTTTCATGGCAAAAGCACACAACAAAGGGTCCAAATGAATGCTTGGGACTACGAAAATCAACACATGCATCTAGCAAGGTTCCATAGTGTTCAAGTTAACATCCAACAGTCATGATACAAAAATTTGATGCCAACACACCCCACACACCACCCATGATCAAACTAGCCCCCAAGTGGCTTGGTTAGATCAAGGGAGCTCAACGAAACTTGATCAGAATTGAGTCCGGTGTGGGAGCACCAATCATGGCGCGGGCGCGCTAAGCGGAAAATCCAGGCACAGGTTCTCTGCCTGCTCGGTTTCTCAATGAGGCAACAATGCCATTCTGGTGTAGGAGCGCTAGAAATGGGCAAGCACTAGCCTGCACGGGGACGCAAGGCATTAGACAGCGTCAAGGCCTAGATGTTGGTGCGCTCGGGCTGAAATTCACCATGATGCCTTCAGTATGCTTCCATAAACTGAAGTAGACATTTATGAGCTATGGAGTATTGCATATGAGTAAAGTACAATCTTGTAGGCTCAAAAAAATATCTCGAAAGGTGTGACATAAAAAATTGATGCCAACAATAACCATTATACCCTTATATATATAAATGAGGGTCATATGTACAAAAGAGATATGATATATAGAAATAATATAGTATATTAAAACTTAACCTCAATCTCTAAATTACACCATGCACTCCCTCTCCCTCTCCCTCTCCCTCTCTTTCTAACCACCAATATTTCTTTACTTTTATTTTCTCATTTTTCCCATCAAAATATCACACAAAATCTTATCAAAAAGTTAAAGATCATAAATCAATATATATCATAATCTAATATTTATATTCTTTGCAAAATTGAATTGGCCAGCTTAAACTAATAAAACAAAGGAATCAATGCTTGAACATTAAAGATGATTTTATAAATTATGGAGATGTGAGAAAAAGTTTGATCAAGTATTTTAGGCATAAACATGTAACTTATCATAAACTGAGTTCATTTTGTGTTAAAAATTTAAAGAGAAGTGGGTAGAAAAATCAATACAAAAGCAACTAAAAGCAAAAGCTAGTTAAGTAATAATGATAAATTATTTTTTTTGAAAAAATTGAGCACATAAATACACCACATATGCAAAACTTTAAACTCACGACCTCGTGATTGAAATACTAAACTCTCAATAAACATGTTATGCCAGCTTGCACCATAAAATCACCTTTCAGACATGGTATGTGACAAAATCGCTCTAATTATAACAATCCCTCTTAATTAATGTATAAAAATAATAGTTGAACAACGATTCTCACTTTATCTTTCTAGTAATTTAAAAGTTTAGGAAATTTTAAATATTTACTAAATATAAAAGATAATATATTTCATTATTAACATCTTATATAAGGCAAAAAAAGTAATTAAAAACGAGTCTATTTAACATTCCTTAATAATATATTTTCAACTAAAAAACTCATTTTATAATTAATTAATATAAAATAATGAAAAATTTTGTACTTAGCAAACTTCAAATTCTAAATTTGAATTTCAAAACCAGTAGGCGCAATGAACTGGCCCTACAAAACCCAAACGGTCACCAAAAGAAGGACAAAAGTCAAAATTAACCTCACCACTCGCCGCTGCTAATCTCATTGCAAGGGCAATATAGATAATTAACAAAATTCGGCCGTACTTCAAGTCACTTAAGCCCCATCACTGCAAAACCCATTTCTTCCTTCTTCCCACGAAGAGCAGAGAGCAGAGAGCAGAGAGCAGAGAAAACTAGGGTTGGGAGCCATGGATGCGTACGAGAAGTTGGAGAAAGTTGGGGAGGGAACTTACGGCAAAGTCTACAAAGCCAGAGAGAAGGCCACAGGAAACATAGTGGCGCTCAAGAAGACTAGATTGCCGGAGGACGACGAGGGAGTGCCGGCCACCACTCTCCGAGAGGTTTCCCTCCTCCGGATGCTCTCACTGGGTCCGCATATTGTCAGGTGATCGTAGATCTTTGCATTCTTTACCTTACATGCTTTTCTTTAGGGACTCTGCAGTATTATTAGGGTTTTGACCCGCCATTTTTGCAGAGCATGTGGCTTTTGGAGTTAGAAATTTGCTCCTCTCCTTCCTATTTTTTTTCCAGTTATCGAGAATTATTCAGATTTGAAGTTTCTGTATGGTTTTGCTCTTTTATCTTGTTGTGAATCGCGGATCATGTTCATAATTTTGTTACCGCATCAACTGATGGTAGGGTCGTCAAGTTTTGAAACTTGTTTTCAGAGTCTAAGCTAAATTTTGATATTTGGGAGTTTCTTGATCCTACTCTTGCTATATGCCCTTTTTTATCTTATTACTCTGCTATATTTTCGAATATCTGGTTAGACTAATTATTTCAGATCCTGCGCACTCTTAGAAATTTAAGGATCTGAATATTTAGGGCTGCGATAAAAATATCAACTGTCAAAAGATTTAAATATGCGATGCATCACACAGTTTAGGTCTGTCAAGCTTTAATTCTGGTTGATGTCTGAGTTATGATACTTATATTGATTTTTTGAACAATTGCAGGCTACTGGATTTGAAACAAGGCCAAAACAAAAAAGGGCAGTCGATTCTCTATCTAGTTTTTGAATTCATGGATGGTGATCTTAAGAAATATATCAGAAGTATTCGCCAGAATCAAGAGCTGATTCCTTCCCAAATTGTTAAGGTTTGTGTTTTAAATTTACTTTTAAGGTAACTTTGTTGAAATATAGACTGCTCTAATTTGATAAGTCCAACCAAAATATCATATCCCTGTTAAGTTAAATTTTAGATTTTTTTCACAGATCTCTCTGTGAATGCATGTAGGCTGTCATAATTTTGTATAAGGCTTTAGGGAATCAGAATCTTTTGAGTTCTTTTGAGTATGACAAATTCTTTGTATATTGTCGTACAACTACACATTTTCACCAGAATTAGCTAATTGAATGCAAATGCACAAAATTTTGGAGGGAGCAAATGTCTCACTTAGTGTTGATTGGCTGAGCCATCCGCTCTATGGGTGAGTAGAATCAGGCAAGCACAAGTCGTTCGCTTAGGGGACACTTGCAACCTATTTTCTATCGATCGAGTTTGAGTGAGTTGATTAGACATTTTGATTGCAATTCTAGCCAAGCTCATGTTCGATTTTGAGTTGAGTTTCATCTTCGATATAGTAAAATCTATGTACTTTTTTTTTGTAACTAGCAATCATCATTATTAAACGTGTAAATGCATTCAAAATACGTTTACAATTTTTTTTTTTTTAAATTATTAGTCTATACATTATTTTTCTGGTCAGGCAGTTAGACACGTAGGCACCTTTGATCACCTAATTGATAAATTAATGTATGATCGTTTGAATTGCCATTTATAAATTATAATCAATAAACTTTATAACATATCTTCAAAATATCTTTTAATACATCTACACATACAATACTGATGAATGAATACTGATTAAGAGGATATTTTTGTTTCAACAGATAATTTGGATGCCAAAAATCATCCTTCCAAAAAAATATCTTATTTTACAAGTCAACATGTATATCTTTTTTCAAGAGATTTACTTTGATAACTTTTTCAAGTATGTCCGTTGAATGCATTTCTTAAACTTGCAATTTATAGAAAGTTGTTGGCTTTCTTCTTCAGTTGAGTGTGAATTCTAGATAAGTATTTTCTCTACTTTTCATGCAGACTCTTATGTATCAGCTTTGCAAGGGCATTGCATTTTGTCATGGACATGGTGTACTACACAGGTAGTTTCCCCACAACGTGGCTTCTGATTGTTCCATTGATTTCACCTTCTTTATCTTAAATGGTGTAGGGATCTGAAGCCTCATAACATTCTATTGGACCGGAAGGCAATGATGTTAAAGATAGCGGATCTCGGGCTCAGCCGAGCCTTTACTCTTCCGGTTAAGAAATATACTCATGAGGTATCTTTTCTGAACAATTTTTTGTAATATTTTCTATTGATTAACTCCCTGCAGCTATGATGGGAATGTGTTAATCCTAATGGGGATTTTGTTGGACTTCTTCAGATCCTAACGCTTTGGTATAGGGCTCCTGAAGTGCTTCTTGGGGCTAAAACCTATGCAGCACCAGTTGATATTTGGTCAGTTGGCTGCATATTTGGTAGGAACTTGCTCCTTTCTTTTTATGTATCTCTATTTATGAGAAAATCTATAAGCTTTTCAATAGAAAGGGTGTATAATATGTCGCATTCTAGAATGTAGCTATTTAACAAGTGATGTCTTGAGGAGTAAGAGTGAGTCCATCTAAATTTATAATTATTAATTAATATTTGTATCCATTAGAGACTGTTCCAATTAGTTATACAAGTGTATTATTAAGTTTATGAAATGTAAATGCATAAATATGTTATGTATTTTTTTTACTAGAGGGGGTGGGGATTTACTGATGTAGGGGTTTTTTAAACATTGTCTTCACCAAATAAATCAACTGTCACCCACATAATTATGCGCTGAGACATATGCACAAATATATATCTAAACTATATTATATATCATTTTGATTTTAAGTCAATTTTATTTTGAGCAAGCCATCTTCAAAAGCTAGAGCACATAGATTTGAAAATTCTCTAAATCTAACAAAATCAAAATACTAAGAGCGAATTCCGAAGTCACAAATATTTTACACAAAAATCTAATATGGGAATTGGATATGACCTGCAGCTGAACTGGTGACAACACAGGCACTCTTCACTGGAGATTCAGAGTTACAGCAGCTCCTCCACATTTTCAGGTGCTTTTATTTTCTTTAGAGTGCCAACCTCTTTACATTTATATTTATTTGTTGATTTATTTTGTTATGAGGAACTTTTAATCAGGCTACTTGGTACACCAAATGAAGAAGTTTGGCCAGGAGTCAGCAAACTAGCAAACTGGCATGAGTATCCTCAGTGGACCCCAAAAGGCCTATCAACAGCAGTTCCTAATCTTGATGCAGATGGTCTTGATCTGCTTTCGGTAAGCTGACATTTCTATTCTTCAAAACTTTTAGTATAAACTTAAAAATCAAGTTCGAATATAATAAAGAAAGAAAGCTGGCTGATCTATCCACAAATTCAAGTGTGTGGTGGTATGACATAAGCTAAATGCAACCAAATGTGATGAGCTGGCCGGTCAATTCAACATTTTGTTTCTAGTCGAGAGCTCCTGTCGCCCTAGACTTGAACTTGAGCTTAATTAATTAATTGAGTTCGAACTTAGAGCTCAGTTCTACAAGTTTAGTCGGCTCATGAGCCGATCTGTTTGTTATTAAAATGAGAAAATGATTTTGATTCAAACATTTATTATAATGAAATGACAAAATAAAGAGTAATTGGAAAAAAAATATAACGAGAAATCACTTACTATAAGAAAATAAAATATAATTTTATAATATTTTAATTAATTAATTGAACTTGAGCTTAATTAATTAATTGAGTTCGAACTTAGAGCTCAGTTCTACAAGTTGGGCCAATCTGTTTGTTATTAAAAGGAGAAAATGATTTTGATTCAAACATTTATTATAATGAAATGACAAAATAAAGAGTAATTGGAAAAAAATAATAATAATGAGAAATCACTTACTATAAGAAAATAAAATATAATTTTATAATATTTTAACCCATGTATACTAAAAAATTTAAATATAGTACATTGATATTCTTTTAAATGACCCAGCTCAAGATGTTTTTTTTTTCGGTTAGAAAATGTTGATGTATGAGCCATCAAAGAGAATTTCTGGAAAGAAGGCCTGGAAAAAGGCTTTGGAGCATCCTTACTTTGATGGTCTGGACAAAGAATCCCTGTAAGGCTTCTGATGGCTATATTATAGTATAGCTATTATAGTATAGAAAGCTTACTTTTTCATGATTAGTGGGACTACATGGTCATAAAACTTCAGTGTTTGCTCGCCTTCTGCACTACTGCAGCTGTTTGCAGTCAATGTAATCGTTAGTCATATGAACCTGAAATATGGTAATGTGCTGAATTTTTTTTTTCTTTTGTTTTTGGTTGAACTTCTAATTAGTGCTGTTGTACCGTGGTATTGTGAATGCTGATATATTTGGGCTTTTCTGTGTTGGTTTTTCTTCTCAGTAGCAATATGTAACACTATGGTTAAAAACAACATGATTGATGGAACTCTAGACTGGCCTGTGGATTTTAAAACCAAATTGAACGTTTAATTATAGCTAACAAAATAGCAAAGTTGTACTGTTTTATTAGACATGTAAAATTCTAGCAATTAATCGATTCTAATTACTGTTTCTTGAATCCAGAGAAAAAATATTAATCTTGCAAATGCTGCATTTTTTTTTTTTTTTGGGTATTAATATGTATATTTTTGTCATTGACAAAACATTTGCCAATATTGTCATTGTCTGAGTCCCATTCCCGGTGCGTCCGGAGTTTCGACGTAAGTTGTATCCGGACAATGGATGGGATGAACGGGCGATGATTTTTTTTTCCTCCGCTACATCTCCTTTATCGCGTCTGTTGTCTCGACTTGCAATACTTTTTCCAGCTCCTGGATGTGAAAACTGAGGATTGCACAAGACTTGTTGCTATCTTCATTTTGTTGGTGATGCCAGGCGGGAACAATACATCTCTATTAGATAGGTGATGATTAAGATTGTGGTGGAATAATGACTTGGCTGGGCAGACATTCGTCACTTATAAATTTATTAAAATTTTTAATTTTATATAATATTTAAAAAATTTTGCCCTCTAAATTTAAATGTTTAAAAATAATTTAATATTAATTGCATTTTTATTATACCAATTATGTTTCTAATAATTTAAAAAATAAATAAATAGTTAGAAATCTTAAATTTAAATGTTTGTGATCTCTTCATTTTTAATTTAGTCATCTCATTTTTTTAAAGCTTTGACTCTGCCAAGTGGATTCTATAGTGTATATAACTTCTTTATTCTTAGCTCAAATGAACAGAAAACAATTAAATAAAAAGTTGTTTTTGTTCTGCTCATTTATATTTAGAGCTTAAAAAATTTATTTGTGTTTGACTCGGTTACTTAATGAATGATTCAAACACGAGTTGTTCGCAAGCAACGAACTTTGTGACAACCCTAGTCATTGAGGCGTGTTCTAGCTCTATGTGATGCCCTAAGTGGGGAGTGTAAAGCGTAAAGTCGAGCTAGAGTCATAGCTAACTAAAACCCCAATTAGGTTAATAACAATTTACTTGAGCTTGACTCATGAGCTCAAAATCCCCTAGTTTCTCAGAACTGCAATGGGAGCTCATTAGAGAGGTTCGATGTCTAAGTTTAGGTCTTAATTTGATCAAAACGGTTTATGTGAACCCAATTTGATCAATTTTGGTTGAAGCCCAATTTAACCTAATTTAGGTTTAGGCTCCGTTTGGGGCAGCTTATAAGTGCGGGCGTAGGTTTAGTTTACATCAATATGGATTCAACTATTTAAAAATGCTATTAGAGAGGTGTTTGAACATGCTAATTTCAATTAGAATTGGTCTCATAATGACTTTACTCTTCAGCTCTAACTCAAGTTAATTCTAAAGAGGCGACGACCATCCAACTAAACCATACACAAATTTTAGAGTTAACACTAGTGACAGACAAAATGGCAACATCCACCTCTTTTACGCAAGTTGTTTCTATAATTATTTGCGCATCAAACTCTTCTAAAGCTTCTTTAGCTAATGGATTTGCAATGCTTTTTAGTCCACTTCCAAAAGCTAGTTTGATAATCTAAGAAGGACGGCGAAAACCCTGTCGACCGTAATTCTAAAGAGGCGACGACCATCCAACTTAATCATACACAAATTTTAGAGTTAACATCTAGTCACAGACAAAATGGTAACATCCAACTCTTTTACGCAAGTTGTTTCTATAGTTATTTGCGCATCAAACTCTTCTAAAGCTTCTTTA